TCCGGAATGTAGAAAAACGTTGGAGTCCCTTGAACTCCACATTCGCAACTGAACTGGGGGATGCTCCCTGCCTTCTGCTGTGAGGGCTCAGACTACAAACGCGTGGCTTCTCTACGGTCTTCTTCGCATGGGGTTTCCTGTTGGTGACTTTTCTGCTTGAATTGGCACAGCGCTAGCCCGTGCGTCTAAGTGGAAGAAGGTTGTGGCGGGCCTTCCAGGGGAAATACCAGTGTGCTAGGTGAGCTTCACTGAGGCATGAGTCACAATGCTGCTGATCAGTGTTAAAGGACCAACAAGACCTGCGAAGTGAGGTCTCTGTAAACAGAGGCACAAAGCACGAGATAACAGGAAAACGTGAGCAGAGGCTTGCAGGAACCGAGCCCCCTGTATTGCCTCGAGGAGCCAAGGTTCCCTAGGGGCTAATTCAGTAGGTGTGGCAACTTTGTAATACAGAGTGAACACCACAGCTGCCAATAAGGAGAACACTTGCGACATTGTATAGTATAACCCCGGCTTGGTTTCCAGTGAATATATTATGTTGTTGGAGAGTACTCAGGAGAGGGGGTTGGGTGTGCGTGTGTGTGTGTGTGTGTGTGTGTGTGTGTTGGGTATTTCCCACTCTGAAGCTGAAGACAGCTAAAAATACCCAAATGCTGTACCACTACCTTTCCCCATCACTTTGTTGTAAAGATGCGGGGTGCTTCAACAAGTTCATGGAAAGATCGAATTCAGAGGTAATGGAATTTTCCCACAGACTTTTTGCAGCTCCCTTGTAAATTTGGGAGCCCTCATTCTCATCTCTCCCTTTCCTTTCAGCTACTAAGGATCCTTAAAGGGTGTGCTGGAGACAAGTCAGACCCAGGCAAAGTCGCTCACTCAGGTCTCCCGGACCACGTGGGGTGCAGGTACCCGAGGTCCCATAAGCGGTTATCCGAGGAGAGCACCAGCCCTCGCTACAGTAACAGCGGAAGGGCAAAGGGAATAAAAAGACCACACCAACCTTTTAATTGTTTCCTGATGGGTTTGCTTGATTCCAGCCATCTCTGTGGAGTAAAAAAACAAGAAGATATAAAAGCGACCAGCCTTGAAGAAGCCCTGGGGTCTGTAACGGGATGGCACTTACAGCAGAATCCAGGGACACGTCGCCGTGCTGCAGGCCGAAATATTCCTTTTCTGTTACCCCCAGGTGGCTGTACGCCATGTCCAGAAGAACCTGGCCACTCTCCTGCTTCTAGGGAAGAACAAGCAGGAGTGACTATGTTTCCCAGAATGAATTAAGAACTGGAGGCAAAGACATCTTTGCTGTAGGCAAAAAGGAATGAAAATATGCAGGGAGATTTTATGCCCATCCGTTTTCCACAATAAGAACATCTTTAATGAATCTGGAGAGGCCGCACAATACACAGGAGATAAGGCTGAGACAAACTGCCCAACGAGGATCAAAGGCCATTAGTGTAAGATCCCAAGATGTCTTCCTCCCTCTTAGCTGGGATTCCCAGGGCTGCTGTCCACACGGGAACACTCGGATCATGGCCTCAGCAAGCTCTTAGAGGATTATCCATGGATTATCCACAGCAAAATGCTAATCCCAGTCCACGTGCTGCTGCCTCCTCCACCCAAAGGCGCCACGGCAGAGTGCTCAGCGCAGGAGAACTCTGATAACAACAGCCTATCTGAAGATGGCGAAAATTACCCACAGGCCCACGCAAAAAGCCGCGTGGGCCCCACTCTGTGGGATTACCTGCCTCACTCACATCTGAAGTGAGAAGCCACTTCAGCCACAAATCACTTCCAGACCGGGATGCAGGCCTCCGACAGTCGGTGAAGGGGTTACGTCGGAAGCACGAGGGACCAAGCTATAGTACCTCCCCTCTTTCCTGTCTTTCTTGGGGATATAATACACCCCCTCTCCTGTCCCCATCGAGAGGCTAGTAACTCTACCGACCAGCCAGGATGACAGCACAGTCAACTGTCCTGATTTGACTTTGCTAATGTGGACTCACAAGGTTCCAGCTAAAACGAAGATTCTTCACATTAAAAACATGCTTGTCTCCTCAAAGCACTGGTTTGATATAACTGGGTAGTATAGAAATTGGATATCCCAAATGGGGAGAATAAAGGCATGAAGTGGCTGGCTTACAAACTTTCATAGGTTGGGTAATATATTTATAGAATTATAGGTTAAATGTTCACATAACTGTAATTGTTAAGTATACATTT